TCCACGTAATTGGAATATGAGAATTGTTTACACCGTACACAAAAATTGAAATATTTTTGAATGCTGTTACCACAGAGGAATTACGCTTTTAAATTCAGTATATAGAATATTATTCACTAAGCTATGATCATCATATGGCTCCATGTGGAGAAACAATAATAGCAAAATTTTATGTTGGTTTTAAAGGTAGTAAATCTACAATGCATCATACATTACTGAGGCAAATTTTAGAAAAAAACGTTAAAATATGGCATAGATACTCCATATATTTATAGACTACAAGGCAGCCTACGACTCTGTGAATAGAACGAAAATGTTCAAAGTAATGAAAGAGCTAAGAGTACTAACTCAGTTTGTAAATTTAAAAAAATTACTGTTGAAATTTTTAAACGTAGAGTATAAATCCAGATTTATAGTCTACGTCCTAGTCCGAACCTTTTAAATCAAATAACGGGCTGGGCTACGGACACATCACAATTCTTGCCTATGCTGATGATATTAAATCCTTAATTATATTGAGAAATATAAACGTTAAACTACAAAACAATAATACGCCCAGTCCTAACAATTGGTTCAGAGACCTGGACTGGACGTGTTAGGATGTTTTAAAAGAAAAGTTCTAAAGTGAATCCATGGAGCGGTGAGTGACAGTATTAAAAAAGTATTAAAATAGGACGTCTGAGATGGGTTGTGCATGTAATATGGTTGAAACAAAATGAAAACTGAAAAAGGCTTCTTGATAGACCCACTGATCAGATAATAAGAGGAAGACCCAACACAAGGTTCCTTGATAACATCGATAAGAACATCAGAAATATGGGAATACGTGCTTGATGGAGGAAGGCGATAGATAGGGACAACCTAGGGAATCTCCTGGTCAAATGGACAAATGAAACAACAAGAAGGACCTCTAGCTATTTGAAATGGGACGCCGCTTTGAGGGCACCTCCTGATGGATAGAGGAAAAGGGCTCTTCTTTCCTAAAAAATACAAAAAAAGGTTAGGAGACTTTTCTAAAATAAATAGTTCAAAATGGTTAAAAGAAATAAATTAAAACATTTAATGTTTATGTCTCAACCCAAATAGTTACAAAATATAAACGGCACAAAAATACTATATTAATAGTTACAAAGATTTATACCAAAATAACAAGGAGAAACACTTACATGTCCTATCCGTTTACGAACTCTGTTTACAAGTGGGAAATGCTACAAAACTTACAAACAATTGTTACTGGGCTATAAACTGTGGCAGAAATAAGTCATTACAAATAAAAATTAGCTGCTACTGACGAGCAAACTGAAATTATGACTACAATTCAATTCAGTGATATCCAGCTCAATATTAAACAGCACTGTGTAAAAAATTGGCAACAAATGTGGAATTCTACTAAGGCTAACCTTAAAAACGTGAAAACTAGGATTGGCACTAAACTACAATTTCCAGAAAACAGAAGACAACAAGTGATTATAAACCGACTAAGAATTGGACACACAGCGTTAACTCACCAGCATCTCATAACAAAAGAACTACCACCTGAATGTTCCTATTGTGAATGTCCAATAACTGTTCAACATGTATTGATTGAATGTCCTCTTTATTCCTACGAAAGAGCCATCAACAACGTACCAGAAGAAGCAAAGAAACTTAAAGATATTTTAAACAGTAATATATCTAATACAATCAAATTCCTTAAGGACATACGTTTACTACACAAAATTTAAGTTATATTATATGTATCTCTTTGTAATTTGTAATTTATTATGTGTAATTTAATACGCAATTTGTAATTAGTAAATTTGTATTTGTAATAACAACTGTAAAATCTGTAAAACCCGCTAATAACCTTTAATGGTTGATGCGGAAATTCTAAATAAAAAAAAAAAAAATAAAAATTATCTTTTTAAATAAAATTTTGTAGAGAGATTAACCTTCTTTAAAAAACCAAAACAAACTAATGTGAAAAAAATAATAAAGCTAGTTGCTGCTGTGGCTAGTTGAGAACAAATAAAATAAGAGCAATAGCCACACCCTAAAATTTACAATATTAATCATTACAATTTAAATTGTTATAAAAGCAATTATTATTATTGGAGAAAAAATGTCTATCTTTACTTTAAAAGTTCAACCAAAAAAAAGTTACCTGGATTTACTAAAACACACTTTGAGATTTCTGGGGTTACCTTCTCACCCATACCATCAAATCCACCTCCAACTGTGAAAGATGCTCTTAAACGGCTTCTTAGGACGAATGCAAATTTGAGGTTGAAAGTTTGGAACACAAACTTTAGACTGGGCTTCTAAAAAACAGGAATAAGTAAAACTGGACATAATGACAACAGGTGGTTATTTTTCAAAATTGTTGCAGGCGATACAAATCTCTTAGAAACATAGAAATAGTTATTATGCTCACCCTTACAAAGCTGACACGTTACACAGAGTATAATTCCACCACCTTTTTTTCTTGACCTTACACACCGGGCGGCTCCTACTGTTTTCCATCCCCGCGTATCAAGTTGCAGGGGCAAACAAACCCTAAATCTCGTAAAACATCTTCAAAACTATATCGCAAAACGACCTTAAATCACTTGCAGTTTTTAAAATAGAAATTAACACGTCCATATAAATAAAACCATATTTTCGTCGTAATTAATAATTTGAATTTGGAATTCTTTTCTTTACCTCACTAATAAACCGAGAAATGAGGAATATTTAGACTCAGGTCAGTGACGTACTAGAAAATTTTTTATTCTTGAATATAAGATAGTTTTAAAGAATTTTTAACATGCTACATAATGATGATGATGGCGACGATACCTTTTTATCTCACTCTAGCCAGGTATTTTATTCAGAATTTGAAAGTAAATCGAGTGAGCTCATGGATAATAGTTATAGTAATAGTTTTGTGGATCAGTGCCGTTTATTCATTAATCCTTACTGGAAGGTTTCAAGATGCTAAAAAATCGGAACAAATATACTAATGACACATTTAAATCCTCCTGTCACCCTGCTCTTTCCACATAATTTCCTTAACGTTACTTTTATTACTATACTATAAGTAACCTGTAATTATATTAAATTCCTTTATAACTTTTTATAGTTGTATGCCTCCAATTATTGGTACTTATTTTTTTTTTATATATATTTTATTTAAATAAAAGACATTGGTTGAAGACACGCTTAGTTTGCTCACTGTCAAAATGATCAAATAATGCACTAAAAAATAATTTAAGTCATAGGGTAAAACTGGAATAGAAACAACGAAAAAAGAACCTAAGTTAACAATAAAAGAACACAAGAACTAATAAAATGGTTCAAAAATAAAAAAGCTCCAGGGCAAAAGTGATCAAAAACATGGAGAACAGGTATCAATGCTACTACTACAAATTTATAAATTTTAATAATAAAGAGAGTATTTACTTTTTTATTATTAACGAATATAACCCGTTTATATATAAAATATTACAAAATGATACATTAAACCAAAAAAATTACAAGCAATAAATAAAAAACATAGTACATGTGCCAAACAGAAAGATAAATACAATAATTAGAAACTGAAAAAAATTTTAACGTTAGCTTGTTAACAAACATTTTTTAAAGTACATAGTAATAAATCAACGTTTATTTTATTACCATATGTATACCTAGTATTTTCATATTCTATTCTTACCTACTATTTTACTATTCACACATGTAATCGAGTAACAGCACTGATAATAAAATACTTATTCCGAAAGCGTTCTGTGATGTAGCCCGGAATGTTTTTTTTTTTAAATAAATACACCTTTTTATAAAGGATTTTTTATTAAATTTTTTTATTTTATTACCATTTAGAATCATTCTATTCACTGAAGAAAATTTACCAAAATTACACCCTTGAAATTTAACTGTAAAATTTTGAAATATCCGAGTAAATCTGAAAGAGACATTTAAATCAATTAAAGAAAACAGATTATTGCAGAAAATGTTGTAATTGAGTAATTTATGCATTATCAGATACGCAATATCAGCGTGAGTTTGCTCCAGAGACAATTTAGAAATATTAAATGTGATAAATTTATTTTGGACTCTCTCAAGATTGGAATGCTTTGCTTGTTTCTGTCACAGCAGCACTTCCACTCATGGATTTTGCAAAGTAATTAAAATCATTAAAAGTTATCTGTTTTTCTTTACGCTGAAAAGAAATACTTTCTATCTCCTACCTATACATATCTTTCCGCTAGACTAATCAACATTCATGTTGAAGCAAAAAAAAATATTTAAAAACAGGTACTTTAATAATTTAATTTCGTATAAATTATATTCAAAAAGAACAAATGGTATTTAAACTTACCTAGAAATTCGTATGAAAAACAACGTTATGAAAAGAACGATTTGTGAAAATAATATCAAATGTAAATACTGAGAACAACAAACCGAAACGACGACGTACAGAATAAACGCATTGTCACAAGATTCGGATGCTTAACAGAAATGAAACTGGCAACAACCCAACGGTAAATAAAATGCAAATAATAGTAGAAGCAGCATGTTCGTAAGTGCCTACACCAAATGAAAAATATGAGACGAAATAGTTAAAATAATTGTTTCAACATTAGTATTCAAATGAAGGATAAATGATAAATTGGACGAAGATGAATGAACTAGTCAAATCGGATATTTTTATACTTTAATCGGATATTTTAACTAAATATACAGTTGTTATGATCATTTCATTTGTGTTTTTATATTTTCAATCTGGTCCTCTTAGCCATCTATTCTTATTCGCTATTATGACAATTTTAAAATTCTCTTTTCTAACTACTTACCAAAAAAGTAATCGGTTTTTCGGTTATATTGGTAATACTAAAATCATCAAGTGGTAAAATATATATTATACTTAATTAAACATTGCTAATCTTAATAAAATTACTATTTCTAAATTATATTGATATTAAATGCTATGGATGCTATATACGTAGACTTAACAATATTAATCTAGTATTATTCTGTTTCAGCAAATAAACCTCAGTTAAGTAAGCAATTTCCAAACGTTTCGTCCGAAAGCGATCTTCAGAGGTACAGAACAGCACATGGCAGCGACAGAAAGAGCCCTAGTCTGTCCAACCCCACCGAGTCCCTGAAGCAAAAGGTTTGTCCTCAAGTACGTTCAAGTTTGTACTAACGTTATATAGTACTAACAAAGATATGTAGTAAATTTAGAGACTTATTGACATATAACTAACAAAAATTTATCTCATAAAAACCGGACCTTTTAAAACTGATTCAAAAGTGCCTGTAAAATATTATTATAAATACCGTGTTTATTGATTTTAAACTTAAAATAATAAAGAAGTTTATAAACGCTTCGTAAAAAATACCAAATATTTAACCATACTCTAACCGAAAATAAAATAATTCGATCATTTGTTTTCCCTGGACGCAGCCTCATGTGAATCGGTCCTACTGCCGCTAATTTGTTGTATTATCTTCTGTTTAAGCTTCTCTGCCATTAACTCATTAACGGTCAAAGGTGCATTTACGCACCCCTTTCATTTTTTTTGCATAGTGCCAAAATACTTAGTACTCTGACAAGTATTCACAAATATTCTAGAATGTTTGTTTTATCTTTATAACCACATGTACTTGATTTTAAATAAAAAAAAAACATTTTACAATTTGTAAAAGTAAAACGATTTTTCAACTGTTTGATAACATCATGAAGACAATAATTTCTTATCGACTTTTTGACGCAACGAAGATATATATGTTAAGATAATATAGCTTCAACATACTATTACGCTTCATTCTAAATTGCATACTTGTATGAAACTTGGCATGTAATTTTCCAAGTTTGATTTAAATATTGAGGGTACGCGTACGCACCCATTAGCGCACCACTGACGCATAACGGCATCAGTGACGATTGATGGCCATCACGACAACGCGACATCAACCGCCGTCAGTTTGTCAATTACATCAGTACTGCAATTGTAAGCACGTTTAATAGTTTTTCGTAACTATGAGGTGGTTTATATTACATAAATAAGAACTAAAAATATTTGTTTGTTGCATGTAAGGGAATATTCAAAATGATATAAAGGTGAGTTGAGAGTAAAAGGCAACTATTTGTATTTCAAAATTATCTGTCTAGCCTGAAATTCGGTTTTTTATCACAGTCAATATGAGACAACCAAGTACTTCTAGAATGTCGTTGGGCCAGAGCCAGAAGCGACCATTTGGACTTTTGACTGCACAGGAGATGTATGATCGAACGCGACCTTTGACTACTAAGGAATTAATTGCATATCTTAAAGAAGAGCAAGATATAAGGAATGTAGATGAAGTAGAAGTTACATATATCGCTCCTAATGTTGATGAAATTACTGATGTCGAAGACCTAGATAAAAACTTCATTCAAGAAGTTAAATATTGATGCAGAAATTGCTGGAACATATGAAATTTACGTTCTAACAGCTAGTCATCATTCTGAAGATGATATCCTACTCCTAAAAAAAGAAACAAATACCACTCCCGCTTTCTCGACTCATCTTGAAAGTTTTAACAATCGTTTATTAGAGATCATCAAAGTCAACCATGAAGGAAAGTCGCCAATTGAAATATTTTCATTATTTTTTGATGATGAAGTCACAAGCCAGATTATACATTTTTTAAATACTTATGGTGTAACGATAAGACTACCAAACAGAATTGAAGTACTATTGTAAAAATAATACCTCAATCAACCATGGGAGCATATCGTCTATACCTTCCTAGCTCAGTATCTCAAGGGTGAGTTTTTTTTATCTTAAAATAGGGATTAAACCTGAGTTCTCAGTTCATCGCAAATAAGACAAATTTTAAACCAAACATATTTATTTAAAAGAATAAAAAAACACAATAATTAACCCTGCCAAAGCTTAACAATTAATAAGTGATACTTATTGCTTCGTTCGATAGTATACTTGTGTGTTCTAGCTGCTAGGTCCTCCAATTGAGTGTTGTAGCTGGAGAGTTGCAGTCACACGTGGTTGTATTTTCTGGTTAAATTCTAAAGTCCAATAGAGTTGTCATTGGACTGTAAATGACTGTAAATATTTCCAATAAAGTTTTAAATTTTCGATAAAATTCCCAATAAAACCATAATATGAAAAACAGCTTACATTAGAAACGCATCAAGAAGAAAGGTTTAACTTCCTTGCCATCTTACAAAGTTACCATTAAACAAATAAAGTATGGCAAGGATAAAATGAAATATAATTGTTACTATTATTGTTAGTTAAATTCTGTTAAAGAGTCCTAATGCATATATAAAAAAAAGAACAATGTGCTTTCGAAAGAAAGTAAGGTTACTAATATCGGAAATGCGGTTAGAATTATAGAATAAATATCACAATGAAAGTACTTGCCCCAAGAGAATTTATAGACCATAAAATGAGTCTAATTAATAATTTTTCCCTTCTTTTATAAAGTTCAAAAACAGGCAAAAAATTAATTCCCACTACATTAGAACATTTAACTGACAGAAAGTAGTGGGACTGCTTGTAGTTAGCACAGATGTCATAGGATGTTGCTATTTCATAAAACTAGCTGTCTGTCAACACAACACAGAAAGAGAGAGTAAATAATGACAGTGGAAGAAATGAAAACAGAGGAAGAAAGAGAGAAACGGAGGGCGCCAACTGCTTTTTAAATAAAAAATAGTAAAAACCAAAACTAAAGGTAAAGAAATTAATAAATTAATAAAGAAATTAAAATGAGATTAATATTTAAATATAAATTAATAGAGAAGTGACGTTTATAACGTTACAATGCAACACAAAACAAAGTCACAAATTCAATATGAATGAAGCTGAACCAAAACGCTTTATCAGTATCTGCAAATTATCGGGTTATCAACTTTGCCACAATGTGACACGTATTGATCGAAAGATGAAGATACGAAAGTAGCCATTGTAAGGGAAGAGTCTCTCTAGAAATAAATTTCAATCAATTAAACAAAATATGTATTTGTCTGAGAATACTTAATTAGACAAAAATAATAAATTTGCTAAACTTACTCCTATCTTTCATAAAATGAATATAACATTTTTACAATTTAGTATATTCGAACATAACCTTTAATAGACAAGCAAATGGTACGATATTTGGACGTCATTCATGCTAGATATTTATTCGGGGAAAGCCTGTAAGATTTGGATTTAAATTCTGGTGTCTTTGGTCACATACAGGTTATTATATACAAATTCATACCATATGGAGCAAAACAACATAATAATTTTGATTCAGGGCAATAGTTTGGGAACGAAGTCAGGTTTAGAGTTGTTTTCCTGGTTGACAAACCCCAAAAGCATCGACTCTTTTTCGACAATTTCTTTCTTCTTATGCTCTTTTTGTAATACTGCAGGATCTAGGCTTCTTTGCCATAGGTACTATAAGAGAAAACCGCATTGCAAAGTGTCCATTACAGAATAGCAAAAACGTTCAAAAGACTCACAGGGAATATTCGAGTCTGCATTTGATATACCACATACATGAAAATTACCGGAGAAGAAACAGATCACATGAGAATACTACGTGGAGTTAAGACAGGGATGGTCCTATCGCCGTTGATATTTAATATGTACTCAGAGAAAATTTTTAACGAGACTCTTTACGGAATAGACGAAGGCATCCTTCTAAATGGTGAAAGAGTAAACAATGTTAGATATGCCGACGACACCATGGTGATAGCAGATAGTTTAGAGGGACTTCAGAGGCTAATGGACAGAATAAACGAGTAGAGTCAACAGTACGGACTAAACATTAATACCCACAAAACGAAACAAACGATTATCAGTATATGTATAACAGTATTGGCCAAGAGTGCATATATGCACCCTTAATTTTTTAGATGTTATTGTTAATTTTTTTTATTAAAAAATTATAAACATATCTTAGTTGAGGCACTGTAAACTAGTTTCGATAAAAAATTATTGTTTTCTATTACTTGGCTGTTAATGGGTTAAATCTGCAACGTCAGTATCTACGAAATAGACTCGATGAGATTGAGCTTATTTTGCTACGCCTAATGTCATATAATACCCTTTTACATCTATCCTTTGAATAAAAATAGAATATTAGAATCAATATTTATTAAAGACCTGGGGCTTTGAGTTGTTTAGCAATTTCTTAGTATACTACGATTACTACGTGCTATACACTGTTTACTACGATTATCGTGAAAGTTCAGCGACGCAATTCTCTTTTATATAGGTAAACTTAATAAAAAAAATATTGATATTGCTTTTAATCTTCCAGCTGAAATTATCATGATCATTTGGAAGGCGAGGAGGAATGTTGCACTTTCAATATTAGTATCTATTCCGGTGCATTACTTTTCTTAATTATTTTCGTTCAATCTAGTAGATCTAAATTTCTGACATATTCAATACTTAAAGCATACTATCAAAAGAGATCATCTCAATTTCCTCCCTCATGTTTTAATGAATACACCTAGTTATCAGATAAATGTGCTCTTAGTGGTATCCAAAGTATACCTACTACTCATAAATATAAAACTTTTCATAAATATATAAAATAAATATTAAAGCAAAAAAGGTCTCAAACTTCATTTATCTCAAAGGACAAACATTTTAAATAATGTTTTTCATTGTAATACAACCTCAGGCGCCATCTCTCGATATGCATCGAAAACATTCCAATTCATTTTCAAAAAGCAATCTGTAAAGCGATATATTTGGCCTCTGGTTTCAAAACTAGGATCAATCATTGGTATTTACAGAACAATAAATATTTTTAAGTATAAATAATGTCAAGACGGAATGTTCAGAGATTTAGAAAGTTTTCCAAGTGTTCATTAATTATAGTATACACACAAACAGTCATAATAAGATCCTTATAAATAATATAGCTTGAGAAAATAAGTTATTATCCTAGGAATGATGCCAAAACCAGTACCTGTTCAAAATAAATAGGTTCATGCGAGTTTTTCATCGCGATTTATGTTATTGAATGAATCTTAAATGATGAATGGACCGAGGGGGATTTGCTACTGGATGTGCCTTGAAAGTTGAAAGGTTATATTAAAAACTCATTCAGAAATCATATTAAATAAATATTTTTTGCTGATTTAATTAATTGATTAAGTAGTAAAAATTAACCAGTTTTTTCTTCTCTACTAAC